TCGCCTTTCCCCCCCACCTCCTGTAGTTAATTTACTGGCTTTTCTTGTTAATTATAATGGGTTTATGTGATGATTGTTAGCATTAACCATCAAAGGATTGTTATGAGATTGAGCATGTTTCTGTAATTGTTGATAGTAAATAAGCAGTTTCGGTCTATTAAATGTTAAAACAAAAAAGATTTCCAAATCAGTTAATATTAGTGGTCGACCGATATATCGCCAAGGCCGATACATTTTTCTGTTTGGCCGATGTGTTCGAGGCGGAACTTTTATTTTGACGGCGCTGAGAACGGCAGCCGCTCACATTCTCCCTCTTGTTCGCTGTCGTCGTTCAGTTCTGTCTAATATGGATATAAGTCTATCTAATAATCAGATAGAACTGTTAAACAAATGAATTAAAATGATACAAAAAAGTATTATAACGATTGCTTTAATATTATTAGTAATATAAAGGCAAACATTATAATACTTTCTCATTTGCCGTCAGCATTCAGCAAACACGCATTTACATAATTTAAGCAAATCTTTGAATGACTAATGAACATTTAACACTGGAGACGCGCGATCGACAAACTTTAAACTAGTGATTTCAAATTATGCTGCGCTTTATGCAGTTGCCCACTGTCATATTCATGTCATTTTCATTGCGTACTGTATGTAAAATGAGTGTTACCTTAGCTTTATTTGAAAAAAAAAATTAAATTTCTTAAATATAAATTAAAATAAATTAAATTATATCGGCTTTATATCGGCCACCCTGCTTTCCAAGATATCTGCATCAGCTGTCAAAAAACCCATTTCGGTCGACCACTAGTTTTTACGCGTTATTCTTACATATTGTGCCTTTAATAATGCTTAGATGTAATGCAATAATGTGTATAAGATGTTTTACCTGATGAAGACTGCTTTCTTATTTTTTGCATCTACACTGAGTTTAACGCCCTCCTTGGCATTGGCCGTGGCGATGCATTGGTTGGCATTGGTTCTGTCCTCCTCTTCCTCACTGTCTGACCCACTGGAGCTGCTGTCGGACGCCACCAGCGGAGCCTTCCTCGCCCCACACACACTCCACACACACGCTGATGAGCCTTTAACTTACACATGACACATGACCTGATGTTAATGTACCATCATTTAGAACAAACAACAATCAAAAGTATCATAAATATGTTAATGTAATATGTAAAGTATTACTCCTGTTCCTCTTGTCTATCAACGGAAACACTCTTGCACAACACGCAGGACACAGCACAATCATGCTAACCTGTGCCCTATCCACACTTCTACTATTGCACCCATTTCTTTTCCCATGGGCCTCTGGAATTGTCAGTCAGCGGTCAACAAATCTGACTTTATTCCAGCCTTTGTTACTCAGTCAGCTCTTAGCCTCTTAGGCTTGACTGAGACGTGAATTAAACCTGAAGACACAGCAACCCCTGCTGCCCTTTCCAACAACTTCTCTTTCACCCACACCGCCCGTCAGGTTAGGAGAGGTGGGGGTACTGGTCTCCTCATTTCCAAAAGCTGGAAATACCTCACATGCTCTTTTAACTTTAATAGTACTTCCTTTGAATTTCATGCCTTTACAGTCACCCTCCCTGTAAAAATCCACATTGTAGTTATTTATCGCCCTCCAGGTCAGCTGGGCAACTTTCTAGAAGAACTGGATATGCTGCTGTCCTCACTCCTTGAGGATTGCAGCCCTCTAGTACTTTTTGGTGACTTCAGCATCCACCTTGAGAAGACACTTGTTGCTGACTTCCACTCTCTCCTAGACTCTTTCGGCTCAACACCACAGGTACCCATAAAATCAGGTAACCAACTCGACCTCATCTTTACACGCAATTGTATCACAGATAACATCTTTGTCAGCTGGTCACTGGGGTTCCTCAGGGTTCAGTTCTTGGGCCCCTCCTCTTCTCTATATACACTACATCACTGGGACCCATCATTCAGGCACATGGTTTTTCCTATCATTGCTATGCTGATGACACGCAGCTCTACCTCTCATTTCAACCAGATGATTCAACGGTACCTGCTCGGATCTCAGACTGCCTGACGGACATCTCGGCATGGATGAAAGAGCATCACCTGCAGCTCAACCTGGCAAAGACAGAACTTCTCATCTTCCCAGCCACCCCAGGGTACAGCACCAGTTTACCATCCAACTGGGCTCATCAACGATAATCCCATCGAATCTTGGAGAAATCTTCACAGCCAGGAATCTTGGGAGTGATCCTTGATGATCAGCTGACCTTTAAAGATCACATTGCAAAAACAGCACGATCATGCAGGTTTGCACCACACAACATCAGGAAAATCAGGCCCTTCCTAACAGAGCATGCAACACAGCTTCTCGTCCAGGCCCTTGTCATTTCTAGGTTGCAATGCTCTTCTGGCTGGACTTCCAACATGTGCAGTCAGATCTCTACAAATGACTCAGAATGCAGCAGCACATCTTGTTTTCAATGAGCCCAAGAGAACCCATGTCACACTGCTTCTCATCTCTCTGCACTGGCTTCCAGTCGTGGCTCACATCAAGTTCAAGACATTGGTGCTTGCTTACAGAACTACCACAGGCTCTGCACCTACCTTCGCTCTCTCTCATGTATGTATCTACACCCCCTCCAGAAGCCTGCAGTAAATGAGCGGTGGCTCGTGGTCCCATAGCAGAGAGGCTCAAAATCACTCTCAAGGACATTTTCTTTCACCGAACCCTGTTGGTGGAATGACCTGCCTAACTCCATCCAGACAGCCGAATCCCTTAAAATCTTCAAGAAACAACTGAAAACTCATATCTTCCGTGAGCATTTAATTGCCTCCAATAATAATAATAATAATAATAATAATAATAATAAATAAATTAATTAAATTAAATTCTATGCCTTCACCTTTTCTGTTCTCTTATTATCCTCCTGTCCTAGCTTTTTACTATTTTGAACGGTGACTGAAACCTTGTATAATGGGCACTTCTCATGTTTATTGCCATCTTATGATAAATTGCTTGTTGTATTCCTCAACTGTAAGTCGCTCAAAAGCATCTCCCAAATGAATAAATGTAAATGTAAATGTTCTCAAGCAGCAAATTAGCATATTAGAATGATTTCTGAAGGATCATTTGACACTGAAGACTGAAATAATGGCTGATAAAAATCCAGCTTTGCCATCACAGGAATAAATTACACTTTAAAATATATTAACCTAGAAAACAGTTATTTTAAATTGTAATAATATTTCACAACATACTACTGTTTTTACTCTATTTTTTATCAAATAAATACAGCCTTAGTGAGCATAAGAGACTTCTTTCAAAAACGTCTGCATGTACATCGCTTGTTGTATTCATCAACTGCAAGTTGCTTTGGATAAAAGTGCCTGCCAACTGAATAAATATACTCCTAAATTTTGTTAGTCTAAAGTTTAAAAATCATTTTTATGAAAAAATGCAAGAAGCTTATAAAAGTTTGGTAACCCTTTACAATGTTAATCCAACATGTTTATTTATGAAAAACATTACACAAAATTAGGTATTTGTTGTTCATTAGTATAAGAAAGAATGACGCAAAAAATGTAATGAATATACTTACTTTCTTCATTTTGGCTCTGTTTGTTTGGATTTTCCGAGTCCACAGGTGAACTGCATCTGGGTCCTGCATCTGAACTGCAGAGCATGAGAGTGTTTAGCACAGTCTCCACATGACATGACACATGAGTACACAATATCAACTCAAACACAGTCTCTCCCTCACCAGCAGAAGGGCTGGAAGTCCGTGAAAGTCGCCCATCCCTTTTCCTCCGTCTCACTGAGCTGGGCGGTAGAGCTCCCCCACACGCCAGAGCCCGTATCCATGGCGACACTCGCGAAATCCCGACAGCTGAAGTCATCTTCAAAACTCGCTATCCATCCAGGACCTGATTGGTGGTGATAATTTTTCCAGTCAATTTTTATTGGATCAGGTGAGATTTCTAGATCTAGTTTGTGTGAGCTGTGAGCATACTCTGCGGATCACTGGACTGCTTGTCCGTGTCCTGGTTCTTGGTCTTTTCTGGAGTTTGTTTGGTCTCCGGAAACCACTCCATGTCAGGTGACCCCAGACATCTGTGAGAGCCACCATCTGCCTCACTCTTCTGAGCGTTTATCACCAATCCAAACCTACCGAAGACAAACAGCAGTCAGAGCAATGGCTGTTTAGTGTGTGAATGCGTGTGTGTGTGTTTTATGAACCTGCTTCTGGCTTTCACTTGTGTTGCATAGTTGATTTCTTTATCCTCCCAAATATCTTCCTCCTCCTCAGCATCATCAAACGGTCGGATTCGCTCCTTCGTGCGAGTCTCAAAGATGGCAGAGCTTGTCTGAGAGAGGAGAGAAAAGGGTTATAAAAAAAATAAAATAAAAAAAAAAGAGTGAGAAAGGTCAATGAGAAGAAAACACAAAGACATGGAAAGGGTGCAATTATAACCCAACAAAACATATAAAGAATATAGAACAAATAATAGAGAATTGGCATTAAGTAATACTCACCCTTTCATCAACCAGTTTAAAGTTGATCTCCGTGATTCGAGCGAACGTGGCACTGCACGAAAAACAGACACAGAATCTTAAAGGTAGGGTTGGTGATGTTGGAGAGGCTAGCAATAGCAAACAAGCAAGAGCCCACCCTCCCTACAAATCACTCTCCAAAGCTACGCCTCCTCCAAAACACATGAACGCGCATAGGCAGACCAGATGCTAACCATGATGAGAGATGGCGTTGGTGGAGGGTTGAAAGCAACTCTGTCAGATTACCACGTCTCATTCACCGGTGAGAAAACATTACAGTACAAGTGAAGAGTTCATTTGCAAAAACCGATAACTCCATTTTTATTTTTCAGAAATCATGTTTTTTTTTTTATTGCGCATTCCAAGTAATATCAAACTGCAGTTGGGCTGTTTTGATTAAGTAATAATAACTTAAGCAAATACAGGTAATTTACAAAATTCCTTGTAAATTTAAAATTTCAAAAGTTCATTGAAAGTA